TGATCGTAGTCTCCAGAATGTGAATGCACATGCAACCATCAAAAAGCAATGTTAGGTCCCGACCGCCTTTTAACACATTTCGTTCCCAAGCTAGCGATCATAGTCGTTGCAGACGCCTCCAGCTACGGCGTCGGTGCTATCATCTCCCATGTGTTTCCAGATGGATCGGAGAAAGCGACCATGCATGCTTCTCGAACCCTTACGCCAGCCGAGAAGAATTATGCCCAAATCGGAAATTAGGCTTTGGCGCTAGTATTTGCCGTGAGAAAGTTCCATAATATGGTCTATGGTCACCACATAAGCTTACTGACCGATCATAAGCTGTTACTCGCTATTTTCGGCTCTAAGAATGGTATCCTGACATAGTCCACCAGCAGCGTTGGGCAACCTTTCTGTTGAACGATGACTTTGACATTTGTTACCGTCAAACGCAAGGTTTCGGTCAGGCCGGCGCCTTGTCCCGGCTAATCAGTGCAAATCGACAGGAGCAGGAAGACGACATTATCGCAACAGTCTCCATAGAATCGAATGTTCGTTCACACCTGGCTGACGCGGTTCGCGCGGTCAAGATCACTTTCCGTGACATCAAAAGAGAAACGAGCATCGATTCTGTCCTCCAGGAAAGAATTAATTGTGTTCGCAACCGATGGCCAATGAGAGCACCAACTGGAGATCTATGACAGCTTTATCTTCTACGAGCAAGCTAGCTCATAGATGATTCCTGTTTAATGTTCGCAAAACGCATTGTCATCCCATCTTTGCTTCAACCGATCGTCTTAGGTCAACTTCACGCGAGGGATCTTGGTGCAGGACGAATGAAGGCCATCATCAGAAGCTATGTCTATTGGCCGGGCATGGACAAGCAAACAGGGAGGTTGGTTCAGCAGTGTCCCCGCTGCCGACAGGCCACCAACAACCCTCCGCGTGACGTCCCACAACCGTGAACCCAATTTGATAAGCCGTGGTCTCGACTACACGTCGATGTTGCTGGCCCAGTCAACGGCATTATGTTTCTCAACGTAATCGACGCAACGTCTAAGTGGCCCGAAATTATTCCTCTCTCATATGCAATAGCATCCACCATTTCTGCCCTTCGCAAAATTTTCAGTTAGTATGCCTTTCCAGATACCATGGTTTCAGATAAGGCAATTCAATTTACTTCGACACTTTTTGAGGATTTCTGCCGTCGGCGTGTTATTAACCAGCTTCGAACCCCAACGTACTACCCCAATCAAACGGTCAGGTCGAACTATTCGAGGACACTTGTAAATAGGCTTTCTTGAAAATGCGAGGGGAGGCAACTACTGATGAAAACATTTCGGATTTCCTCATGCTTTACAGGAACGCTCCAAATGTAAAAATACCAAATGGATCCTCCCCTGCAGAATGCCTTATGGGCAGCAAACCAACAACCATTTTCGATGCAAGGTGGCCGAAGGAGAAATCATCCACCACCTGCCCCAGTGCATCCAGCAGGGAAAACATTCTCAATTGGTGATTTGGTCTACATTCGTGAGTACAGGCCAGGTCATTCAGCATGGGTCCCAGCAGTGGTAGCTGGCCGTCGTGGTTCTGTAGCGTATGAAGTAACGGCTGGATCGCACTAGTGGGTACGAGACAAAAACCAACTTCGCCAGCGCCATGACGACGTCACAGCCACTGAAGAAGTATTGCCATTCGAAATACCGCTAGACATGTTCGAGCTCATCCTTAACCCATTGGCAGAGGCACTAAATGCACCGTTGGAACAAGTCTCCTTGTAACCCAGAAGATGGACCGACGGAAGCGCCGTTCAACAAGGCCATTGCAACCGGATCCTCGGCGTCCTAGATACCAGTTATCTTAAGGTTGGTGTGGGAAATGACCATATCTCCCAAGAACTACACTAGAATCAGTCAAAATCATGGACTTTTTGCAAAAAATCACATCTTGATTTTTTTTAGACGGTGGACTATCCGTTTCCGCATCAAAACGAGCATTGTTATTGGCTGATTTCACAAGGCCGCTGAATGACCTAACCCAATCATGAGTTTTCATCACTTGCTAGTCTGACTCATGTTGGCGTGTGAATAAATCATGTGCCTTGTCTTTTACTTGCGGGGTTGGGCATTGACTGGTTCTGGTTTTGTGTTGCATTTGTGAATGCGTGCCGTAATTTCGTTGTGAGGGTTCAGCTTTTCGTGCGCGTCTGCTCCGAGTATCGTTAGATGTCGTAGGAACAAAATGTTGCATCTCACACAATCATGAAAAAATCATGTTTGAAGAAGCAACAACGTGCACTTCGTTGGGCCACAGCAACCATGCGACACTAGTGTTCCGCCCCACACGTGCTACGCATGATATTTTAAAGAAGGCAGCGAGAAATCGCAAGTCGACACCAACCAGGGTTATCTGTTCGACCTCATTAACGCAATAAGCTGGCGTTTCAAAGCAGTATGGTACTCTGAGGTAGCCTTGGGTAAGTTTGGCAAGAGACTCAACACCAGAAACCAATATTTAACACTCAATAAGAATGCAGTCGCAAATGCATGGCTTTCAGCAACTCGTCTTCGCTCACCCACCTAGCCTCCATTGCATGGGACACATGGAATGCTTTCATAACAAAGCAATCACTGCGTCAAACTCACTGCTCCAATCTTCAGCAGCAACAAAGAAACGAAAACAAAGTCCGGAGAGTTAAGCGCGGAATTCCTGCTGTGCACACAGCATGCGGGTTGGCGCAAACGGGACAACAGGCACCCAACATTCTTGGACAACAATATAGCCGTACTTTCCAAAGTGTACAGTCATCTTGAACCCTTCCTGTACAAATCATGCCGCTATCAAGACTTACGTACATATACTTTACAACCACTGAAGCAGCCGATGTTCTTGCACAAGTATAATTTGCCTGGTGCAGACGACATTTGCTTAAGGGGGTTCAAAGAGGTAATCATGAGTTTAGCTGAACCGTTAGGAATATTCCTAACGAGATGAGGACCACGACAATGTGGAAGCCCTGAATTATATCCCAATCTACAAAAGTGGCAACCGAACAGAAGCAATGAAACATCACCCAATAAAACTACGTTCGGCGATCTCTAAGACTATGGATTCGATTGTAGCTGGTGATCAGAGGATACCTGGAGAGGAAAAAAGTGCAGTTCCTCGGTAACACCGGTCCTGTGCTACTAACCCACCTATAGCTCATGCAAACTCAAAGAAATCTGTGGATGCTGGTGTGATAGTAGACGCGATCTCCGTGGATTTACCAAAGACTTTCGACCGTCTGGACCATCGCATTCTACTGCACAAGTGTGGAATCGGGGATCTCGTCCTGGGATGGATAGGAGACTTCAACAAATTCTACAACGGGCTTCTCAACAGTGCTCCCACAAGATGTCCTTGGTTGTTTGTGGTAGACGGAATAAGCAACAAAGATAGCAAATGAGCACTTCGGCAACCTTCGTGTGGCGTTCGAAGCCTCACCATATCCGAAAATGCGGCATGCGGCATACCCTACACAAGCATGGTAATTGTGACAGAGGCACCATCTCATAGCGCCGGATAATGCACAACGAAAGGCGACAAAGAAAGTCAAAAAATCGTCCCGTCTTCTTTATCCAACCAGGCTGAAAACGCGAAAAGTGTACAACGAGCGTTATTGCCGTCTACGGGGCCGATAGCATAACGGTGTACCAACCATAACAAGACTCAATCTCGCCACTGTATTTCGAAACAGCCAAAACATATGTCTAAAGAATCATCAGTTTAAGCTGACCACTCTAGACACTTTCTCCCGCCGAGTGTCACACCATTAGAGCTCCCACACACGCATGTAATTAGTGCTCCCACCTTATCACAACTTGAAAAAACGTCTGTGTTACACACGCATTAACACTACATGATAAAGACAAGTAGCATCACATTATGGCGGTAGTGTAAAACGAACAGTGGACGGCGTCAAAATGCACTAAAACACCAGGAAGGAAAAGGCCACATGTTGATCAGTAATGGAACTAGCGCGTTAATTTACCGAACCTGTTTATCATCCTAAAATTTTCACTCCAACTATTTTACAAAACTAGTCAAGCATTTGACTTAATAAACCTTTTAAACCATGGCTCCATAAGTAATAAGCATACGACTGACTGTATGAGTGGCGGCCACAATTTACAGAGTGGTCTGTCCTTGCGTCCTCCATATGACAGCAACAAGACACCTGCGCCTACAGAGCTACCATAGGTGTCTTGCGCAGCCCCATTCACAGTTCAATCCGAAGGAATAACATCGGGAGCCATTTGGATGGGAGCCAAGTTTCATCAATGGAACGGGACCACACACCTGCAAGTTGCACAGCAACAGCATGACTGTTCTACTTATTGGAGAATCACGCATAACATACGTACACAAGACGATGGATTGGCCGAAGGTCGTTGCACATCAGATGCATAGAACCACCAAGTGACTACAACACGAACCAGAAGGGCCATTTAACGCTTCCTCCAAGGAACGAATATTTATCTCCAGAATGCAGTCCAATGAAGGTGGCAGTTTCAATATAAGTGGGCAATAAAAGTAGGCACATTCACAAAAGCGCACCTACAATGGGGCTATCAAACAGCAACACATAACACGAGAGAAAATACACATCAAAGCTGGACGGAACATGTGCAGCGGTAAGACTGAAAATACAGAAAATATAAATATGCATTATGTCTGAGTCAGTGTAAAGGTGATTTTGGGTGGGTGAAAGTGAAAGTCAAGAAATACCAACCAATGAGTAACGGAAACGATAGAAATCAAGGCACAAAATAAATGGGAACTGCGCATATAAAAAACTTAATGGGTCTAGACAGAACAATTGTATCGCGGAACAAATGTGAAGCAGCCCTCCTGCGGAAAAGAGGCATAACAAACACGATATACACAATAACACTAGGCGTCATCGTGAAAGCGTCACAATGTTTCTTCGGCAGAAAAAAAGTAAAACCATCGACAATGGCACAACACGGACTCACCTAAATGAAGAGCAGTGATGTGCCTTTGCAAAGTGATCTTTACAGAAAACGATTTACCACAACGCTCACATGTATGGGGACGTTCCTCTGGATTGAAAAACAAAAAGAGAATAATCGAATATCAACCAGGTAGGGAACTGTGGAAAATCTTTTACAATAATGTGCAAATACCGTGGATGAGAAAGTGCAAAATGACGGCGGAGGAATCGCAACGTGTAGATGTGGCAGGTATTTTCCAGTTAACTCGCAATGCGAGAGAGAAGAATGAAAAATAGAATGAATATAGAACAACAACTGCTTGATGTCAGCTTTGCGAAAGTAGTAACGTGCTAACCTCTCGATTGTATACAACCCGTTAGTATGGATTGTGCGCAATGCCTCGCATCTGACACAAAAGCTTCCTCTGGCCTAGTGAACCAGTAGAGTGGACACTTATAGCAAATGGGCAAGATAAAAGCGAAGCACTTGGGACAGCCCCGTGTACCACTCCGGTCCAAGAAAACTATCCGTTAGCGAGACAATAACTGAGAAGTTGGACAGCTGATCCATTGTCAGTGTCGTCCACTAGCCCTTTGGGTCGAACGTTTTGAAGAGCAGTTGAGAAGGCCTTCTGCCACACTGCCGCTTGACGGATCGCCTGAGCTGACGAGAAAAGTAGAGTTCACACCTACTTTCGATGCGATTCGATATGAGCTTCGCGTGTTGAAACGGAACAAGAATTCTGGACCCGAGGACCTTCCTCCATCTTCACTGAAAGCTAGTGACTGTTTGTTAGCTGGACTCATTTCTCTATTTACCACTGTTTGGGACACTGAAGAGGTTTCTTCAGACTGGCGCTTGTCAACTGCCGTGCCCATCATCAAGAAAGATAAACGTGTTTACTGCAAGAAGCATCGATGCATTAACCTGGTTTTCACAGCATACAAACTCCTCACGGTATCATTCTCTAACGGATGAATGGTCCGTGACTTCTCCAAGTAGGGTGAAGACGCGAGGGGACCAGTCCATGACGTGGCATGTAAGCAAGAAAAATATTGACTGAGAAACTTGGTCAGGCTGATGCGTGCCGTCTTCGTAGATTGGGGGCCTTGTGATGGTCTACACCAATGGTTGGAGACCGTGTCAAACACGGCGCAGTCACGCAGTCAGCCGCGTTCATGCATGCGTTTCTTGCAACCGGTTGTTAAGTTGATTTGTTTAAAACACATCCCTCTCGCTTTCATTTCCTTTACATTATATTTGCCTCCACTCACACTATCTTGCCGTTGTTATTTACTGCTATTGTTGTGAGGTGAGTCGTGGCAACTGTATCCACCGCACGTCGGTGCTAGAATTACAGTTGATCAATTGAACAGAACTGAACTGTACCAGTAGATGTGACATTGTAATGATCTATCACAGCACCGACAAGATTGCTTCTTACACGCTAAGGATGGCAAAGTGTCTCCGAATGAGACGAGCGGGTTAACCGTGAACGTGTAGAATCCTGAGGAAGCAAATTTCCAAGTCGATTACGTTTAACTGTAAATATCGTAACTAGTTTGATTAAATCACGAGGTAAACTGCGGATGACAAAGTAAAAAGGATCGCGACCAGAAACAAAAACAGCATTAAGAATCAATTACCTATCAGATCCTAGCGTATGCATAGCATTGATAATCTCAATTCAAAGAGGGGATTGATCTCTCAGTCGTCCGAACAGTCAAACGGAGAACTTAAAATTGGGCTATAGATGGTAGGCCAAGTAAGCAGTTCAGTTAAACCACTATGACCCGGAAACCGAAATGCGGTGAATCTAGTTGCCATGACTTACGTCGCCAAATAACAATAAACAACGACAGCAATAAAAGTTTGAATTCACACAGTATGCAAAGAAAATAGAATCATAACAGAAAAGCACAAAAAAGAATGGTGAAATACTCCGCCAGCACCGGTGGTCAAACAAGGTACAGCGTTTAATGTTTTCGCTGCCAACTTGCTAGGTCTCTGATCCATGCGGCAAAGCCGGCCTTACCGCAGCGTTATACACACTACGTTTCACGGACAGACTGATATCCTACCGTCTACACAGAGAGTTAAATCACTGGGAAGATACAATGACTTTGCTGATAAGCAAAGTAAGCTCTTCATTGATCTTAACACCACAGGCGACACAGTAACCAAGGTAAATGAGCCGATTCCCCACTTGAAGTACCAGTTCGCTGATAGCTAGAGCCGGTGGTGTACCGGTCAAATCCTGCGACAGTTCTTTGCACTGTGAATGGGCAAACGACATGCCGAACCGTGCAGCGCTACGCATCAGCCTGTGCATAATTGCTTCGCATAACCACTGCATTGGAGCAAAGCGGGTTATATCGTCCGCAGTCAGTTTTCTGGTACGACTTCCATTCCAGAAGAGTCCGAAATAATAGTCATTCTGTCATTTCGATCATAAACTTGAAGAGGATAGAAGACATAGAGCAATTTTTGGAGCTCAGGAGATAGCTTCTCGTGGACGTTGGTCTGGGCTTCGGGAGTCACTGCAGAGAGATTACAAAACAGCAAAAAGTCTAGCTGGCGCGCCTTTCACGGATGGAGAGTATAACAAGATGGCACGATTCATAGAGTCGAAGGCAGCCTTCTGGCAGAAAAACACCCTCAAAGTCGGTATTCTGTACATTTGTCCCTGGTCTAACACTTGGAGAAAACAGAACGCGAAATGTCAACATATCGATTGTTCCATTCAGGCAAAACGCAATGTAAGCAATAAACAACCGGTTACATAGGGTGGTGGTAACCTAATAACACAGATAAGCAAAACAAAATTGACGTGTATTACTGTAACGGAAGCGAAACGGTTGACTATGGTAGTGCATTATAGCAGGCCGCAAGACTTGATACGATTTCGAGACGTCTCTCCGGGGTATACAGATTACTACCCGACCAGCAGTAGCAGGGCGGAGTCACACCAGAAACTGATGAAATCAAATCGCCATCATCGCATGGTTGCTATGGTGTGGACGTGATCATAACTACAGTCAGACAGTGAAGGCCGCTACCAGGGGCGAATCTGTTAAGACAAGAGATGTGGTTCACTTCGGTGAGAGATAGGCGTTAAAAGCATGTGACCTATAAAAGTAACCAGTTCTGCATCTAATATACTTCGGTCTAGCAGACTTGGCGTTCTGATTTGCCCCGGCTGCGTTCGCGTGGTAGTGCAGAGAGCAGAAGGAAAAACAGCGTTACAACAATGTGCAAACCACATGGCGAACACTGATGCGCTACGCATCAGCCTGTGCATTAAGTCTTTGCATAACCACTGCATCAGACCAGAGGGGGCTATATCGTCCGTATAGTCGGTTTGCTTGACAACTTCCACTCCAGCAGTCAGAAATAACAGTCACTCATAGTCATTTCAACCACAAGGTTGAAGAGGATAGACAACATAGGACAACCTTGGCGAACCCCACTTGTCGTGAGGAACTGTGGAGACAGCTTCCCGTGGACGTTTATGGGGGCCTCGGGAGTCACAGTAGAGAAACTTCAAAATGGAAAGTTTAGCAGGCACGCCTTTCACACATGGGCAGTGTCACAAGATGGCGCGATCGATAGAGTAGCAGGCGACGTTCAGGTAGAGGAAAAGCCCCATAGTCGGTCATCTAGATGTCTCCATGCGCTAACACTGAGAAGAGTAAATATGTGATCAATGCAACCACGCACAGGGCGCAAGCCAACCTGACTCTTACTGATCCGATTCCCACGGGGACCAGCACACAGTCGAAGGATGATTTCCGTGAGGAGTTTGGAGGAACGGAAATAAGACGACTGACTCGATGATTTTCCTATACAGTGGTCGAAACCTAGCTGAAAATGAGGGACAAATGACAGCCCCCAGTCAGAAGGCACCTACCTCTTCACTGTTCCAAATCACATTAGATAGCGAAGCAAGTCCGGTCGCCAAATAGTCAACCCCATGTTTCAGCAAAGATAGAGGAAGATTGCCGGGAACATGAGCTTTCTTTCGTTTAAACAAGACAAGCACATGTCGAACCCTATACCAAAGTGAAAGGTGTGATATCAAAATTCCACATCGGCTCCAGCAAGCGGCAGTGTCGCAGCTAGCCTGCTGAACTGCTCTTCAAATTGTTCGAACCCAGCGGCCAGTCCACGAGGCTGAGAAGGATCAGCCGCACATCTTTCTCAGCCATTGTCCCATTACCTGATGGGTTTCTCGGATTCGTGTTCCGGATTCGCTAGAATAGCACTCGGATGTGCACATTTTACATGTGATAAATATCTAAATCATCATTCGCGTCCACCAACTCCTTCGTATTCGCAAAACAGTTTGCTATTTCAACATGCAAACAGTTACCACAACCATATCTCATGTTACTATGGATCTTACGAACCTCATCACGTACACTTGCCAAGATTGATATTTGATCACACGGCAATTTGCGCATATCCGATTGTACAAAACTGATCATGCCTTCTTTGGTGTTACACGTGTAAAATCGAGAATAAACACTTTATTTTATCGTTACTCCAATAGTACTGGCCTTCTCCATCTCGAAGGAACTTGCAATCCCCCAACGCACAACATCGAATGGAAGACAATTGTCAGTCGTCGTTTCACGGAGTTACATACACGCGCCCGTTTCCGTGCTTCGATCAAATTGATCGATGTAACAGAAATCCAAAACAGTTAGGGCGTTGAAGTTGGGCGCACAGCAAACATCAAGGAGCTTGTTACTGGTAGACCTTAAACGATGCCAGTCGGTGTCCGGCTCAACAATCTTATTTATCACTGCCAATTCGTGAACCAGTTCATTATGATATAGTTGAACTGCAAACTGTGAGTTCAAGTTAGAAGATGGCGCTTCAATGAAACAGGAAGAGTGCACGCCAGGCGTGCAAGTACTAGGCCATGGTCGGAGTCCAGATATATGATCCAAATGGGCGGCATCTATAGATGATAGCAATATGGTCAATCTGGGTATAGATAATAGAGAAATTCAGTGGGCACCAGGTAACGCGGTGTGA